TCGCGTCACATGGCAGGGAGAAAGGAAGAGCTGAGAGAGTTTCGAGCGTTAAAAGATGGTGGAAAAGTGAAGTACGACAACAACTCAATTGGAGAAATCAAGGGTTATGGGATGATCACTAATGGGGAGTTTTCAATTCGCAAGGTCACATACGTGGAAGCCTTACAACACAACCTCATAAGTTTCTCGCAGTTGGTGGTTGGTACATCTTTAAAAGTTTCTTTTGATGATGAGTGATCAGAGATTGTCGAAAAGGTGACCAAAAGTGCTCCTAAAGTCAAAGCGCAAAGGCAAGATGTATCCACTCAATCCGAACCCCATCAAAAGGAAGACTGTCATCTGTCTACTTACGAAAGCTTCTACTGATGATAGTTGGCTATGACACCGAAGACTCTCACACCTCAATTTCAAAGACATCAATAAATTGGTTCTTGGTCACCATGTGCGAGGGATTCCACTCTTGAAGTTTGATAAATAACATCTTTGTGCAGCTTGCGAAATAGGGAAACAAAGAAGAAAGAGTCATCCAAAAATTCTGAATACGAAAGTCATAGAACCACTTGAACTTATGCATATAGACCTGTGTTGTCCTTCTGCAATTGAAAGCATTGGTGGTAACAAATATATACTCATAATTATTGATGAATTTCTAGATTTACCTGGGTGCATTTTCTTAAGCAGAAATCAGAAGCCACTCCCAACCTCAAGGATTTCATAAAGCAGATTGAGATACAAATGCGAAACTTGGTTTGTAATATTCACAGTGACAACGGTTTGGAATTTAAAAACCAATCGTTTGAATAATTTCTTACGGAGAAAGGAGTAACTCACAACTTTTCGTACTCCTCAACAAAACGGGGTCTTTGAATGACGAAACCGCTCATTGTGCAAAGCTGCAAGAACCATGTTGTCATTTGCAAATTTGTCGCTTTACTTCTGGGCGGATGCTATAGAAATTGCATGCTTTACACAAAATCGATATATCCTCAATAATTGATTCTCTGTTACTCCCTATGAGATTACAAATAATCGAAAAACTAATGTCAAGTTCTTTCATGTGTTTGGTTCCAGGTGCTTTATCATCAATTCTAAGGATCAAAGGAACAAATTCGATGTAAAGGCTGACGAAGGTATTTTCTTGGGGTATTTTGTGACTTCTAAGGCATATAGGGTTCTCAACAAAAAATATAAAAAGATAGAAGAAACCTACTATGTCACATTTAGTGAAAGTTATTTGAAGAAGTTTCAGAAGGATGACAATCAATCAAAGGAGATCTTTTCCAAGCCGAATCCAGCTGCAATTCCACTCTCCAATCTCTACGAGGAGATCATGAACTTATTCGATGAGCCAGAAAAAATGCAATCTCCTCATAATCGAAAGCAGCAGGCAACAAGGAATATGAACTAAAGAAAATCATTGATGATGTTGCGAAAGATATGGAACACGAGCACCCCACTCCGAAAGACTTTGAACTTCCGTCTCAATTACAAGATGTGAATGCTACACCACAGGGAGAGAGTTATACATCAACCTCTACACCTGATACACCTTTTCAGGGGGAGCATTCAACTCCTCAAATGACCCACGAAAGTCCTCTCCAGGGGGAGAATCCTATTCCGAATGAAGAAGTAGAACATACATCATTTGAGGAGGAGAATGAAAATGTTAATTATGATTCGAATGTGCAATCAGAGTTTGAAGAAGTAAATGTTGAACTGGATCCAACATATGATCTAAATTACCCTCCATTGAACAAATGGACCAGAGATCCTCCAAAAAATCAAGTAATAGGAAATTCGTCTTCAGGAGGTCTTACGAGAGCACAACAAAAGGCAAAACAGGCTGCATTATTCTCTTAAGTGGAATATTTCATGTTCAACTTGTTTATCTCCAAAATTGAACCTAAAAGTGTTCAAATTACTCTTGATCACTCTGATTGGGTGCAAGAAATGCAGCAGGAGCTCAATGAATTAGAACGAAACAAGGTTTGGAGACGTATTTCCACTTAAAAGGATGCATCTGTTGTTGGTCTAAAATGGGTGTTTCGTAACAAGCTGGACAAAGAGGGAAATGTGATAAGGAACAAGGCGTGACTTGTAGTTAAGGGGTATTGTCAGGACGAAGGCATTGACTACGAAGAAACCTTCGCACCAGTTTCATGGTTGGAATGTGTTCGCATCTTTTTGACATATGCAGCGCAAAAGAACTTTGAAGTATATCAGATGGATGTCAAGTGTGCATTTCTGAACGGTGAACTAGAAGAAACAATATACGTGGAACAACCACCAGGGTTTATAAACGAAAAGTATCCCAGTCACTGTTACATTCTGGACAAAGCATTTTATGGTCTAAAGCAAGCTCCAAGAGCCTGGAACAAAACTCTTACTCGCATTTTAAAACAGGCTAAATTTAAAAAAGGATCGGTCGACCCAACCTTATTTCACAAGAAATATGGTGACCATTTGATGATCATCCAAATTTATGTTGATGACATCATCTTCGGATCAACTAACCCCATCTTAACTGATAAGTTCCGAAAGTTGACAAAAACTAAATTTGAGATGAGCTCCATGGGCCCGATTAACTTTTTCCTTGGTCTGAATATAAGACAAAGTCAGGAAGGTATCTTTATCAATCACGAGGCTTATACAAAGACCTTAATCTCTAAGTTTGGAACCGTGGGAGATTCGAAGGTGAAGGTTGCAAAGGCATTCGGAACGAAACTAACACCGTCTCTGGACAAGCCAGCTACTGATATGACACTCTATCGTCAAATGATAGGCTCATTGATGTATCTGACAGTTAGTTGTCTAGAAATCATGTTTTCTGTCTACTATTGTGACAGGTTTCAAGCGAATCCTCGAGAACCCCACATGAATGTTGTTAAGAATATATTCAGGTATCTCAAATGAAAATCCTCACTAGGAATATGGTACCCTTTAAGTTCAGGCTTCTTTATGCAAGCGTTTTCAGATGCTGATCTCGGAGGTTGCAGTTTAGATCGAAAGAGTACTACGGGAGGATGCCAATTCCTTGATGGCAAACTCGTAAGTTGGCAATATAAAAAGCAAACTTGCATCTCCTTATCAACTGTTGAAGTAGAGTACATAGCCGCTGCCTTTTGTACTTCACAAGTTATATGGATTCAAAGTCAGCTTCGTGACTATGGCATAAATATGAAACGAATCCCTTTGTATTGCGATTCTGAGAGTGCCATTAACCCAGTGCAACATTCATAGACCAAACACATCGCACTGAGGTATCACTTCATCAAAGATCATGTGGAAGATGGAAATGTCGAGATACACTTTGTAAGATCCACTAATCAGCTAACTGACATCTTCACGAAAGCCTTACCTGAGCAACCCTTTAATTGCATTCTACAAGGCTTAGGAATGATAGAGGCCAAATTTGTTCCAAAACCACCTTCACAGTCATAAGGTTTTGATAGACCTAGCGAATTGGTGTGAACACTCGTAGTGACTCGCAGTCCACTGTTCACACTATGAATTGGTGCGAACGCTCGCAATAACTCATAGTCAATTGTTCACACTGTGAATTGGTGCGAATGTTCGTAGTGACTCGCAATCTACTATTCTTTCGTGGTTCGGGACTTCATGTAACCTTTGTACATTTTCTTTATTTCTCCTTACTAGTTTATGTTTTTATTACTTTCTCAAAAAATCGAAAATCCAAAAATATTTATTCTAGTTTTATTTCTTTTTCATAATATTGAAAATCCAAAAATATTTTATTTCTTTCTGTTTTTATTTCTTTTTCAAAAAAACAAACTTTATTTTCATCATTTATTTCTTTTTGTAAAATAATCAAAAATACCAAAAATATTAAATAATTGAGCAGGTTTGAAGGCAAATATCTTGGTGATCTCAATCACGAATGATGGGGCAGGTATAAATTTTCTAATCTATGCACTAGTTAAGTGTCCATAGAAGCATGTTGCTGCATGTAGTGCAAAGCCTCAAAGACTCTCTATGTTGAAGCCTTAATGAATCGATAACACCAATCGTTTCTTCCCAATAAGTTTGTTCATTCACATAAGTCAAAAGCTACCTGACTCTTCTCCATGGAGTTAAGAGTTAACTGCTTGGTCAGTTTCGCATAGCAGATGCACACTATTTCTTTGGAACCACCTCCTACCACTTCTCCATCACTTTCACATTAATAAATGTAACCCTTGAGACTCTCAGATATTACCACTGAGGTTTATGGTTATAACAAATTCTGTGTTTATGATCTTAAATACATTATCACCATGAATTGAGTGAAACCTAAAATCCAACACATTTACGAATTGATGGTGAACACATTAACTGTTCTAGCTTATTCACCATGGAATTAACGAATAACCACCTTCGTGGTCAATACCATGATTTTTTTTGTGATCTTAATGAGACGTTCTAGTCTTAAGACGTTTCTTCCCAATAGATCTAGTTTTTATTTTTTTTCTTGAGATTTCTATACTTATCCTAGTCACTTAAAATAATTCCAAAGCATACGTGTTTTTATGGCTACACTGGTCAAACAAGTACTTCATCCGAACGTTCGGACTTATGTCAAGTTTCGTAGTTTGGTTGAAGATAAAGCTACCCTTTAAGCTTAATGAAAAGAAGTCTTTCACTATTTCTCAACAAACAAATGATCGTAATTCAATAGGAAATGACACAGACACTTTAGAGTCTCTCTTGACTCTGAAGGAAGAGATCATTGCTCGGGATCCATTTGCTTCATGTCTTAATAGACATCACTAGAATCCCATAGAATAATGTTGATTTATGTATTTATCTTTGGCACACTCTCGCACGAAGATCCGTGTGATTTTCCAAAGTATGGTTCGTGGCACTCATGATTACTTTCAGTTTCACAGAACAGTTGATGGCAATTAATTGCGAAAGTTAGTATGTAATGGCAATTTAAATGGATAAGATTTGGGCGCATGAAAATTTTGAAACTGACATCCTGCCTGACACACTTTATCATGCCACAGCTGTCACTCACAATATTCTAGGCGACGTTTCAATGATTGAAATAACCAACCGTCAGATTTCTCTCACCTACTATACGGTATAAAAGGATTTTGACGATTCGATAATTACTTACCACTTTCCAAAGAAATCAAAATCCTCCCAGTGATTATACTCCTACTGTTCATCATCGTCTTCATCAAGCTTCCATGGCAGCTTTATCATAAACCCCCTCTGTTGCAGAACAAATGGCACAATCATCCATTCTCAACATCAAGGCAAACCAGAACCTCATTATGAACCTTGATCCAACCAAATATGATGGTTTTCTTCAGCCAATCATCGAGTGCTTGAGATATTCTCCACTGGTCATCGCTCTGAAGAAATCGGAGATAGTTCCCTTGGTTTATCTATCCAAGTTGTACTCTACAACAAGTTACCAAAAGGTTGAGGAGATGATTACATTCAAAATCTTCAACAAGAAAACCCAAATCACCAAATCCCAGTTTTGTAGCCTGCTAGGGCTTCCTCAAGGTCGTGACTTGGTTGACCCTGAGATCGTCTCGAACTCTGCCATCTTGGAGATGTTTTACCATATGGGGTACAGGGAAACTATGACCACCGTCTCAAAGTTTAAGAATCCAAACCTACCGCCAATGTGGAACGGTTTGTTCACCCTCATCTTCAAGAGTTTTTCAAAGAGGGTTATCGGCTCCGACTGTGCCAGCAAATTTTCATGTCAATTATGTACGAGATCTTCTCTGGAATTAATCTGGACTATGGCTCAGTGCTTTGGGCTAAATTGTTCCAAAGTACCCTTTCGACTACACGACACAGTGAGATTTCATGTGCATATTTCTAGACTATTGTGGTTCAACGGGCTATTGATAAGCTTAACATCCCCATCCTTGAAGATTCCTATATGGATGCTATTTAGATTTTCCACACCACCAACATCATTCTTGCAGATAATTCTGAGTTCACCTTTATTGGCTCAATTCCAGAATCTATGCTTCGCGATGTCCCAGTTGCAAGTGAAGTGCTGTGAACCTATCGTAGTCTACCAGTCTCTGGTTTTTGCCTAATGACCAATGAAGTATGAAAGGTCCTTGACAAGGTAGAAAAACCAAAGAAATGAGGAAAGAAAAGAGGTGCGAAAGCTAGTCCATCTGAACATTCTCAAGCTCCGAAAAAGAAGAAGGTAAAGAAAGTTGATCGTAGGCCATGAACTCCTATGCCAAGTGACCATGAAGACTCGCAGTCAAACACGGTTTCAGATATTACTGTTCAAGAAGATGTTCACAACGAACATGACGATACTATTGCAACGTGTCAACCCCAAGTCTCGCATCCAGTCACTTCTAATCCTAAGGTAACTTTTAAAATACCTACCTCTGTTCCAATCAGAGATAATTTTTTCCAGGATTTCTCTATTCCTTCACCCACCTCTACTGTCTCCACTCCAATTATTATTGCTCCTTGCCCACCTGTATCTATGGAACTTTTCGCAGACCCAAATCTCTCTAACACAGTTAACCCCACAATTCACAAATTCAACAGCCACCACAACCACCACCACTGTTGAACCTCAAGTGTCTATCAATGCATCTGATGTGGAGGTAGGTGCTTTAGGTTTCACTTTTTCTCATTCTACACCACTCATCTCAGCTCTTCGCCAGGATGATCCATATACCATTTTTGGTGAAGATGAAGAAGACTTTGGAGGCTTTACTTATAGTCCATTCAACATTAGGACAGAAAGTGATGATGAAGCTCTAGCCACTAAAGGGTAACTCAAGGCCATTAACGAGAAGCTGGATTTGCTGATTCAATCCTCTAAATCCTCAACCAGCGATGATTATTCTCAGGCCATGGTCAAATCTTCTCTTGAGACACTTACTATAGAACACACTGCAAATCTCGAAAATACGAATAAAGTTGTTGAGACTTCAGCATCTGTATGCAAAGAAACGACCGAAAAAGTCAATAAACTAATTATTGATGCTAGATCCTTCATGAGCACTTTTCAGAGCTCATTTGAATCAAATACTGCAAGGGCGAATGAAGTTATTTCTAGTCTTGGTTTAACTCTTCGCACATAGAAGGAAAAACTTGAAGAAGTTCGCACTGGCATCCAACCCGACAACTCTGAGCTCAACTCCTCCATCTCTTCTAAAATAGACAAGCTTCATGAAGACTTGGCTATGGAGAACCAAGTTATGGATCAACTCGCAGTGAAAACGGAAAAAGTGAAGGTTCTAACTGTCAAGCTGGAGCATGATGAGAAGCAGATCAACAAACTCTTATCTGAAAAGGCTGTAATAAAGAATTGCATTGCATATGTGAACGCCTTACTCTCTGACATTATCGAGACTCATGACTCTCTGATCACGATCACAGTTAAGAAACATCTAGCTGAAAAGCTTAGGCAGGTGTTCACAATGCTAAATAGAATTTAAGGTGTTTCGGAGTCAAGCTCAATTCCAAAACAAGGGGGAAACTGTGAAGCCATCAAAGAAAGACACCCCGAAACCAGCAGATAGAACTGTGAACCCAACTGTCAAGCCAAAATCTGAAAATGAAACGAATGTTAATGTAGCTTCGGGTTCGAAAGGCAAAGGGAAGCTCAATGATGAAAGAATCATTGATGATAGTGAAGAAGAAGAGCCTGATGAGCATGAGTTAAAAAGATGGAAGGCTCGTGAAGCTCAAATGAATGAACACAATCGAATTGTGAGAGAATTTGAAGAGAAAGAAAAAGTTAAACGGGAAGCTCAAGTCACAATGGAAAGCCGAAAGCTTTTATTTCCATTGTGGACTTTGGAGCGAATAATGAGTGACACTGAAGATATTCCAAGCCAATATTGGTTAGAGCCTGTTGTTTCCTTCAACTTGCAGAACACACAATATTCGCAGCTTGATCTACCAATAACACCGAAGGCTTTCAAGTTTCGTAGCTTTGTCAAAGCTGCGAACGTTGCTCTAACAGACAGCGGGTCAGACCATTTGCTCTTCTCGTTGTACTTGAAGCTTATGAAGCCACAGTATGAAACCTGGAGTGAGAAGAAGATAACTGTTGTGAAGGTTACAGGTCCAATCAAAACTGATAGCTTCCTGAATGCTCACATTAAGGTTGCTAGAGGTTCTGTGAGTCAGGTATGCGGATTTACACTTGCTGATCTACCTTTCTTGAACCCATACGAATGGATTATGTTGTTCAACATGTTGCTCAAGGATGAACAAAAGTATGAACCCGTTGTTGCTCATCTTAAACAAATGTTAATTTCATACATTCAATAGATTCGCAAAATGGACGTTGAGATAGCATCTGTCTTGCAAAAGAGACCGTCTGTGCTCCCCAAAGAAGCTCCTAAAGACTTTGATAAAATGAAGTCGAGGAAGATACGAAAGGATGGCTAGTGCTTAGCATTTCAAATGAAAGAGCGAAGTGATGCTGACTTTCATAACGTTTGCTTCTATATTGTCGATAAGCATCTCTACACCACTTCGTGCCTGCAATACATCTTGGACTTTTATCGCTAAATGTAGAGGGAACAACAAAGGAGATAAGAAATGCTACTTGGATATGATCCTGTGGTACATCCAGGTTCGCAAAGCTCTACTCAGCGTCATTCTGAAACTCTTTGAAGTGTAGAAGCAAACTCCACAGTGAAGGTCACCTGTCTCAATTGACGCAAAGGGGGAGATTGATGGGCCTTATATGTTGCGTCATTGTGGTTTATAGCTTAGTATGTTTTGTATCCGGGTTGGGCTGTCCACCCGTTGTTTATTATTAGGGTTTAGCTATTTAAGGTGCATGCATGCATCGTATCTTTTAATCGTCTTTTGTAAACCCTACATGACTTTACAATAGCAGTTCTTTATCGAGCTCTTCTAATACTGTGGATATTAATCATTCGACATATTTGATATCTGTTCTATGTTCTCGATTCTTTTACCTGTTGAATCTATCGATCATTCAAGATTTATTCTCAACAAAACTAGTTTTATGTTGTTCAAATTTCAAAGTATTATGTTGTTAATCTGGTGTTTTAGAAATAATTTTTGAATAAAAATCCAACAATCTCGTACTTTTTGAAACTATATGTATTAAAAAACACATCGTGTTTGGTCCATCGGTTGTATTGCTAGGGCCTTTCTAATAACACGTGACAAACATCCATGAGAATTACTTCACACCGAACTTCATCTTTATATTTTTTCCCATTTGAAAATTCAACCAAACAACATTTACTTAATTTGATGACATATTCATGCTTTAACCACGTGAATTGGTAAGGTTTTGGCTAGTTTTACACCTTGAGACCTAATTTCTCTTCCATCGTTGTTGCTACCATTTTGTCACAGCTTCCCCTATCTTATGATGTTACATATCTTCCCTTTGATGTACATTTAGTTCAAAAGATTTTGTTTCACAACCATGAACTATCATCGACTGCTTTCGCCACTTCAACATTTACGACATGTTGGGTAATTAAAATGATATTTCCCAAATTAGCCATATGTTTTGGGGTAATATCTTAATATTTAGTGCTTAATTAATATAATTTAAGCTAAAAGATATTTAAAATGATTTGTATTTGATAAACATTGGAAATTCATGGCTTGGAAAAAGGAGAAGATTAAAGATGAAAATAGTTGAAAAATGAAAAAACTTTAGAAATTGAATAGATGCACTACGCCTTTTAGTGAATGTGTCGTTCCCTTTAGAAAATTAGAAAATTCAAAAACAAGATTCCGAAAAAGAAAAGATCGCATCTAGATTAGGATTATCACTTTTCAAACCAAATGGCATAACAATGTGACAATATATACATGTTGGTGTCATGATGGGTGTGTCCTCCTAACCTGATTCTTTTATTTGAATTTGTTGGAATCCTGAGGACACATTAATGAAGGTCAAGATTTTGTACACTGGTGTGAAATTCTCTATGTCCCAATTTTCTTTTGGACCACCACCATATTTGCCAACCATTTTTGAAACTTAACTTTTCTAATCATTTTGACTTTTAGTAGGCGCTCCACTTCTTCTTGAATTATTTCCTTTCTCTTCGGTGCAAATTTCATTCTTTTTCATTATATTGGACTGAAAAAAGGATCAATGTTTAGTTTGTGAGTAATTATGGTTTTATTTATACATGTAATGTCTTCATGTTTCTAGGAAAATGTTGTTCTTTATTTGTTTAGGAGTCCAAGAAGATCATGTTTAAGATCTTGGGGAAGATTTGTCCCCAATGACCCCTTGATTTCTAGGTTAAAGGGATATAATCATAGTTCTTTTATTTCTTGCTTTTGCTTCCAAGACTGCAGGTGCTTCTTTCCTTAATTGCTATGCTTGCTCAAGATTCATTGAGGATTTTATTGAAGATATGTAGCAATTCTTGGCCTCCTGATGGTCACCAAGAACCTTCACTGCCCCTAAAGTGTAGGCATCTAATTGCATTAGTGGTATGTTGAGGGGATCACCTTCATCTCGTGAATCCAAGGTCGGCCTAGGATGATGTTGCTTTCTGCGGAATCTTGGCGGGATCCTGGTCCCAATCCTTAGGTCTGGGATTCTTTCTTCCTAGGATTTCCTTCAGGTGTCCCTTGTTGAGTAAGTAATTGATCTCTTTTCTCAAAGGGACATAATCTTTAGTCTTGTAGCCAAAATCTGTGTGGAACGCACACCACTTGGATTGATCCTCCCAAGTGTTAGTCTTCTAATTCTTCTTCATCCATATTGCTTTTGTCTCCTAAATCCTACTAAGATAATCTTGCATTTGGCAGGTATCTTCCGAAAGTGGAAATGAAAGTAGTCTTCCGGCTTTGGAGTCTTCCTCGAGTAGTGAATCATTAGCTACGTTTAGAGGGCCTATAATCGCGAGTGAATCCTTTGTGCCCAGAAACTACTACTTCACCTGATCGGCAACCCTGCGATTCCTAATGAAAACTACACCTTCATCTCGATCAAAGGTGGGATCCCAGATCGCTTGAAGCTGATTCGTCATATTTTTGGGGAAATCCTAAAGAGATTGCTTGTAAGTTTTTCAAAGGATCTGTTGTAAGGACATTGATTATTAAAGAGATTAACAGTATGTGAAAAATGTTGTATTAGAATATGGAGGAACATTTAGGATCCACTTTAAGGTTGGATCGGTTAGTGTTGATCCAAATCCCTTGCATATATAAGCTTCCTTGAGCTCCATTGGGATGGGAATGCTCTCCATTCTTTCTCAGTAGTGGGCCACATGCTCCTTGGGATCCGTAGACCCATCATACAACTTTATATTTTGTGTCTGGAATCTCTTAGGGATTTCCATGTCATTAATGATAGGTGTGAATCATGACATTCTGTGACTCGCAGGAGCCACTTCAAGTATAAGGGGCACCACTTTGAGAACGATTGAGATTATTGGTCTCAATTTCCTGATTTCTTGCTTAACGAGAGGGCTCATACCTTCATTCTGGTTAACATTAGAAAAAAACATCATTATTATTAAAGATACCAACATTCGAGTTAGGAGTTGCAAAGATTGCATCCAAGTGTGTTGGAGCATGGAATTGTGTGGTAGATATGTTGTTATAACACTCAAATAGGGATCAAATATTCGTTAAGATGCTATGAAGATCCTATCAAACTGAAGTTTGGTTTTTTTTGGGGAAAAAGGAGTGATTCTTGGAGGAGCAGATGTCAGAGCAATCCTTGCAGGATTCCTCACTTCAGCCCTAGGTTACTCCATATCTCTTTGTAGATTCTGGTTGCTTTTATCTTGTCTCCTCATGTGTCTTGTTAGTTAGCCTAGAGTAGAGAAAAACTCATCATTGGAAATCAGGACAAGTGTTGGTTGAGGGGCTCCTTTATCATTATGTCGGGTAGCATTCCCAGCAGAGGAGAATAAAGATTTGCCACATATTCCAAAATCTTGGTCTAAGGATTCATAGTCAGCGATGCAGATACAGGAGGCATTCTGGAGAGTTATGACAAAATAGAAGTTGACGATTTGATGGGGAAAGTGGAGATAGCTTCGAGAGATTATCCGAGCGATTATAATTAGAGAAAAAAATGAAATAACACGACCCCATGGTGGGTGCCAAATTGTTTTAGTCAAAAATATACAAAGCAAGAATCAACCAAATTAGTAAGGGCTTTGTATTGTATTTGGAATCTCAACCAAGATTCCAAGGTGTTAGACACAAAAATTACAAGGAAAGCCCTTGATCTCGGATGAGATCGCCGACACTAAACCTCAGGAGCTAGAAATATTTGGTTGCCTTTGATATTTTATTGATTGATCTAATAATTGCAGAGTAATACAAGTGTTTTGGCAAAGTACAAGTAAAAGGATAATGATTGTGTGTGTTTTTAGTGACTCTAGCTGCTTATATATACTTAAATCTGCTAATAGGAATAAGCCAAAATCCTAAAATCTCGACATAATCTTCTACTATGGGATCCTTGTTGATTAGGTCTCCTTTATCCCATAATTATTGAAGATCGGGTCTTTTATCCATGTTTTTTATAATAATTCTGATTTAACGGGGCTTTTCTTGACACATTAAGGATCTAGACCAAAAAGATAAACAAATAAAAAGAAAACATAAGGACTAATAATCTCCATAATCTTGATCAAAATGTTGGTTAGGATCCTAACTATCATATTGCTCCAAATCCTACATAAGATTCTAGTAAGAAATTTCACCCATACATACACACACACACACCCACACCCACACACATACACACACACACACACATATATATATATATATATATATAGGAAAAAGTGAATATACCCTTGAAGGTATATAAACTTAGGTACCCAAATCCATAATACTATGTCGTTTTTGTATCATATATGCATTCTACTCGTCCAAAGTTCTTAAAATTTAACTCCTAACTCAATTTACTTCCAAGATTTTTAGAAAATTTACTATTATCTTCCTTTTTCATAATTTTCATTTGCAGCTATAATATATATAAACTTGTAGGTGTTTGGTAGAAATATGTGATGTAAGAAGAAGATAATAGTAAATTTTTTGAAAATCTTGGAAGCAAATCAAGTTAGGGGTTGAAATTTAAGAACCTTGTATGAGTAAAATGCATATATGACAGAAAACAACATAAGTATGGTGGCTTGAGGTACCTAAGCTTATACACCTTCTAGGGTGTATTCACTTTATATATATATATATATATATATATATATATGTGTGTGTGTGTGTGTGTGTGTGTGTGTGTGTTGGTATTGGGTCCATTTGCATGACCTAATAGCATGATAACTTGGCTACCTGGCGACAGTGTTGGCCAACAGTGCCTGGCTGTAGCATTCCCAGCCTGGCACCGCTGCACGATCGCCCATTTTGCTGGCACAAGCGCTAACTAGCTGGGTCTGAATTGGGATGGCCCAATGCATGATCTAATTCCATTTAACTTGATTGTCATTTATAAATAGAATGTTAATCCTCCATGTGGAAGCAACTTCTAATGAGCTTCCTCATATCAGGCACCATCCCCATGTTAGGGTGCAAAGTCATGCTCGGATGCTTCTAGTTGCTTACCCTTTTCTATGTGTGTAGTGAGTTGTCTTTCTTATAAATAGGAAGTGAGTGACACCCATTTTATGTAAGAACTTGTGAGAGATTAGTTTATAGAGGGTATTTTTGCATAACCCACTTTGTAATACTTTCTATACTAATGAGAGCTTAAAACGAGATTATTTACATCCTTATGTTCTTCGTGTTCATGATTCTTGTATGATTCACTAAATCATTTCAAATTCCGCATTCGTCATCATAGATAGGTTTACTACAATTGGTATCATAGCGGGTGTTCTTGATTTTATCAAGAATTGATCCATAATGACATTTTTGATTTGGTGATTCTCCATTTCTATTTGATCTTCATGTTTAGAAAGTTTTTGGATTCTAGAAATCGAATTGTTCCTTGATTTGATTCATAATTCAATTTTCTTCACTAGAGTTCAAGTGATTTTTGCCTTATCTCTCTAGAAACCCGTTCAAAGTCAGTTTCTCTCTCTAAAAAAATTCAATTTCTTATGATCTTTTTCATTTTTCGGATTTAAAGATGGAAGAAACAATTCAGGAAGATTGGTTTGTGGATGATTATCCATGGTCATTCAGTTTTGAAGGAATCCTCAATTGTTTTGTAACCGGGTATTTCAAACAAAAGTTCACTCATTTCTAGTAAGAAATGTGAATGTGGAAAGTTCAATGGTTGTCCTCCTGATCATGATCATCATAAGGTGTTGCTTAATCGTTTGGTAACAACTTATCATGAAAGAAGGAAGATGAAGAAAGATGATGAAGTAATTCGTCTTGATGAATGCATGTATATGGTGATAATGTTCTTGCTTATTACTCGAATGTTCTTGAAGAATTTCATGATGTTCTTGAAGTTCAAGATAAGAAGATTCAAGTTGATTTTCATGAAGAAGAAAAACCTTTTTGTTTGATTGGAGTTCAAATCGATGATATTTTGTGTTCTTGTGATTCGTTTGAAGGAATGATTCCTTATCGAAAGCCATCAATCCAAGAAATTCACAAGTATCAAACTCCAAAAGACATGATCCGAACTTGTAAAGTTGAAGTTGTGGGAAGTGGGTTTGTTCTTGAATTCAATTCATCAAGACCCAAAAAGATCAAAAAGATGAAGAAGAAGAAGAAGATCAAAGCCAAGATGATTTGGTTACTCAAGGACAGATCATCAAATTTGGTTGTGGAATTGAATTTCAAATCCAAAATCATTAAAGATCGAATTCAACATGATGATAGAGCTTGTTCTTGGAGAAATGAGTTGTACAAAATGCATCGGGGTTGGTACAATGTTCAATTTGCTGATTTTTTTTGTTCCAACAAAAGAACCAAGATCATCAATGATTGATTCGTGTGTAGCAAACGGAAAAAGAATTGTCAAGAAGGTGTCACAAATACTCAAATGGATTCCAAAACATTCTTGATTTTTGATGATCTGATGAAGAACGATCCAGGTTTTATCGAAATTCAATTTTAATTTCGATTCGTGTGTTTCGCTTTTTTTGATCGTTTTGATTCGTTGGATCTATTCTGTTTCAACCCCATTGTTGATATGACAATTATTTTTCATAGATCAAGCCCAAAACAAACATTAATTTTGTTTTGATTAAATCTTGAGCCCAAAATCATTTTTCTTCAATGTTCATGTGATTCAATTTGTAAGCCCAAACAATTCATGTTGTTCACTGTTCATTCAATTAAGCCCAAATTTCTTTTGATTGTATGTTTAGTGGATAAAACATTACAAACAATGTTCTTTCAAAACTTGATTCTAACTGGAGATTGCATCAAATAGAATTGTGAGCTCTATTTTCGATTTCATATCGATTGAAATAGAATCGATGGGTTGTTGAAAGTGAATTTTCTCTTTTGACTTTTGTTCATATATTATTTCGCATCTGGTATTTTTGGAATGTTCATAGGAGGCCATTAGTTCGAATCGAGAGGAGCTGGAATCGAAATGTGGTTTGGATTGAAGTTGTTGAACTTCTCTATTGGAATTGGTCGATTTGTATTTTGTGATTTTGACTGAGTTGGAGTATTGGAATCGATTGTTGAAGGATGAAGTCAAAGAAAAATAGCAGAAAAAGTCAGGATTGAAGAAGGTTCGATTGAAATCGGAATTTGAACTTGTAATTGATCTGAATCTTGTCTCGGAATGACTTCAATTTGATGAAAATAATTTCGACTGACTTGATTTGGGGTCGAACGTTCCTACTGTGAGTCAAAGTCATATTCGACCTGATGAAAGAACGACAAGGAGACAAATGATTTGGAGTCAAAGTCCACTTCGATTATTGACTTTGATTGAGAAGTTTGGACTTTGTTAGTGATTATAAAAGTGAAGGATGTTGGATTTATGGTTCGAT